GTCAATAGATTTATTGGCCCTTTCAGTAACTCCAGAGTATTCAGCTGCATACTCAGTGCGTATGGCCTTTGAGTGCTGTAAGTACATGACCTAGGACCTATGAAAAAACACAAGACCTACATAAAATGACATAGCCCCAACCTAGGGGAGAGAAAGCATACGTCATAACATATTACTGAATTAAATAATTTCTTATATGACACATGTGCTCATAATATAAGTGTGTTATTTTAAAAACATATTATATTAATATAATTCATTGTATTAAGAATCCTAACATGGTTAGTTTTATCTTTAAAGCGATATTTAAAAAAAATCAAGACGAATGATGAGATAAATTACAAAAAAATCGAAGAATTTTAATCCATGTCTACATTATAATTATAAATATTTGATTAAAGACTTTTCAATAACTAAGGTGAACTACTTAATGTACAAGTTTCGCTATAAACGCTACTACCCCTATGCAATGTTTAACTTGTGGCGGCGGACAACCTCTATGACACGACTAATTGAAGAACTAAAGAGGATCCATACACTTGCACCGAAACTCAAAACTACACCAACCGCGCCACCATACAAGCTGACAGACAAATGTATTAGTTTAAATAATTATTTAAAATATTAAGTACCATGATGTTTACATAAAGCGACATTCAATTCTGAAACTCTAGAAAAACGGGTAGCAAAGATTGCCACTGGCAATAGAAAAATTAGGGAGAATAAATTTACATGGCAGAGGTCGAGTGTGGTGGAAATTCTAGTAATCCATTTTGAGTAGACCGTGAGGATTTGGGACTAAAGAATTCCATTAATTGAGAAAAAATATTCTATTATATCCACACCATCTGTGGCCACATATCAAACAATAATGTTTTATTAAAAATATGTATTTTCATCATGATTTAACGATGTTAAATATCTTATTTTGTATCTACTGCTATTTAGTTTAAACATAAATTAAATTTGAACAGCAGAAACCCTAAGAACCTGTTATGCACGTATTTCGGGGAACTTTATAATTATAACTGTCTTTCATGGACCCGTCTAAAGTATTTCAATTATTTGAACTCTTCCAACAGATCCTCCAAAACCCAATCGGCAAATTCATTTGAGTTTTTGGAATCAATGAATAAAATATACGAACGAGTAGAAAGCTGAAATATCCATAAATCGTCCAAACACAAACAAACAATAATCGATGCCAAATAATCATCTACTGTCATTCAATTTCAATACAGAAAATATACAACTTTCAAGGATGTGAGCCACAGTGTACTACACAATAATCATTACGTTGTTATATTTTACATTAACATAGCAGAAGTGTAGGCGGGCATGCGAAAAACAGGTCATGAATAAAGGGATTATTCTTTGTGTAGCGTTTTATAGGGCTTCACTATAGCATATAGCACTCGTACGCACAGGTGCACAAATAGTGTACATTACGTCCAATAATAGCTTATTTTGATACATTCATTAAGACGGTTGTTCAACGGGAACCGCTTCTTACTACAATCGCAGGAAATCGAAAAAGCTTGTTGTTCCACAAGGACACTAAATTATAATATTAGGTATAGTTTCACTTGTGTTCCAATTTATTACCATTTATTATTATCTCTGCGCCACTTGCAAGTGGGTTACGCCGATAAGAGTTGAGAATACAAAACCGCCCATCCTGAATGCAACAGGAAATGAACGGACTCGCCCCTGTTCAACTGTTATTATTTTAGTCATTATTTTTTTGTTTGTATTATCCCCTTATTCAATCCAAGGTCGGCTAATCGGATTTACTGTACCGAAACGGAGACATATTTGATTCTCATTACAAGCCAACTACACTCATTCCGAAGTATATAAAATGAAAACTTCAACATGTTAAGGTATAGGTAAAGAAGTACTATATAAAAAAACGTTGTTTTACTAGATTTTGAAAACGTTACTACAGCTGCACAGCTGCAAGTAATTACATTTGATTTATAACATACACATATACAAACTAATTATGTTAATAAAAAGATAGATAAAAATCATTAAGTATTTTTACAGCCAGACACGTCATTGGAAAACCATTTGCATGTATTGCGAAATATAAAAAACATGTAGGTTTGCCGTAAAGAAATCAATTAGCTATATTATTTGCATTCTTTCCTCTATATAAATTCTATAAACCATTAAATGTAACTATTATACATACTTAAATTTAGGTATCAACGCAAAAATGATAATGGTAATAATTTATGAAAATTTTAACTGTCAGAAAAAAACTTCAAAAGGTCAACAATGATTGATTGATTAATTGATTAATAATTTGTTTACATATAATAAAGTAATGAAATGTTTAATATTTAATAAGAAAAAAGTTGTTTTTAGTACAATAAATATTATTAGTTGTAGGTAAATTCAAAAACGTTTAACGGATAATTTTGAACTGACCCAAATCAAATTGCACGAGGCACTCAATATTATCTCTGTATTAATCGAGTTATGCTATAACAGCCAACTGAACATTTATATTCATAGATTTCCTGGATAATAGTGTTGTTTTATAAATAATAAATTGTTTTATAAATAAAAATGATTTTAAACAAAAAAATTGGAAAAAAAAATAATTATTAATTTATCCACGTAATTAACCGTTTATTGTCTGAATAACATTTTACCAGAACTCGCCCACAAACGTCAATTTATTTCTTGCGTAATTATTTTTATCTAAAATAAATGCACGACAATACGATAATACGCCATAACAAGACACACATTATCGAACAATTAATAGTATTTTTATAAACGGTTAAATGGGCGGCAGAAGAATAGTGTATTATTATTAACAACTGATAAACAGTCCAACAGTTTTGGTATTCGTCTAATAATCATCCGGCCACCGCCGACCAAACCAATTCTTTTTATAGCACACACTCGAGCCATAATGAAACATCACACTAAATCATAGTATGGAATATGGACAAGCTATACTTTTCAACTACCGCGTAGTCCGCGCATTCAAGAGGTTTTTTTAAATGTTTTTTTTTATAGAAGTACATTATTATCCGAACATCCTGCCGTTGCTCAGAAATAACATAGTATTTGTACATTTTATTGGTACAATCTTTTTTTTTCTTTCTCGAAATGAGCGCTTCGTCAACGATTGCCGCCACCGACTGTTGTATTTCCACAAAATAATTGCATCAAAAAGAATGTGCCCCAGTATAGACGACACACGCCATCACCTAACCTAACCTTCTACACGCCAATGCATTCCACGCATGACGATGATGTACTCGTCTGTTTTTCGTGCACATTTGTTAGGTTTTTATTTTATTACTGTCTAGCGGTGATAATTAATAAATGTAAAATTAGTGTTTTTCAAACGAAGAAAATATAATGTTGGATTATTTGTAACAAAAGCAGAACACGTTTGTTTAAAACGTAAAAAGTGTGTTTGCATAAAACAAATGTATTCGATTTATTTCAAATAGGCCGATAAACACCCCCCACCCCCAACCAAAATACCTCCCTCTAGTCGCGACACTTATTAATTGTTGATAAAATAACATAATATTAACCTTTGTGAGGAGTACCAAAATACATATTTTGAGCTAATAGGAAGGTACACAGAGCGATTAGACCGATAATGATCGAGTGGAATTAAACGCTGTGAACAACTGTGATAACAGATGAATCACCAAAAACTATATTTTCAACGCGCCAACAAAAAAATAACAAACAATTAAAAGAAAACTGATAAATTCGTTTTTTCAACAGTAAAAGTTAGCTTCAGCGACCAAACTCGATATAAATGTTGTTTTGTTTATGGACATAATAAAAACACATGGAATACGGTATGACTATAAGTGTTTACCGAGTATTTAGCGACGGTTCTCGAAAACAAATTTTAGATAAACTACATAATGCCGTTCAAAAAAAACCGATTAATTTTACGACGCCCTTGAGTTTAACGACATATTTTATCCACGCTCTATTGTTGCGTGAAGAAGGACAAGTTGATTTTGGTCAAAGAAATCGCTATTCCAACGGTTCAGACGGAAAACAATAAAAATCTTAACCATTATTTTTTATTTTTTACAGTGGCGTTGCATTTGCATATGAGATTTTATTTTTTCGTCAAAAGGGGCAAAGGTAAAAACGCTCGTCGCCAAACGGCTTACCGAAATTAACCTCAACTCACACTCACGTGTAATAATAATAATAGCTCATAGACCAAAACACGGTTTGTCGCTAATCATTTTTTTCAGTTTGACAAGCCAATAAATTCCGAGACGAGAATCGAAATAATATTGCAAAGTATTGCAACGAATCGACGAGCGAGTCCGAACAACATTGGCCATAAACACGCTTACTGTTGTCTGAATGCGGCGTGCCCATTCGTAGAACGACCGTTTTCAAATTTTCAACAAAAAGAACGGCCGTTGCCAATGTGCGAAATTTTTGAAATGCGACACCGACCGCTGGGCGCCGAGCATTGGCGTCGGTCCATGTTATTTTCGGCGGGCACTCGATACCCATTTCGGCCTGGGGTATATTAGCGTTGGCAGACACACCATTGGTTGTTATCTTTTTTTTTGGGGCTATTATCATACCGTACCTATATCATGTGCGAACAATATTGTTACGGGCGAGTGTGCCGCGGATCGAGGTCGGTCGGTCGCCGCCGCCACCGCCGTCCGAAGAACGTTTCCGTTTGTCGGACAGGTACAGCAGAAACGTACCCAGGCCCCCAACGTGGTCAAGTAAAATACCGCAAAAAACGGTTTAAATTTTAGAAAAACAACGAGCGCTACGCGACGACGAAACCGGCCGTTTATTCGGGTGGCACGCACAGGTAAGCGGTTACCTGGTCGAGGCCGGCAGCCATCTTTGCACGCAATCTATACGTTAACACGGCGGCGGCGCAGGTATCCCGGCGATTCAAACGCAATCGCCGTTAAAACAATAACAACAACGTTTGATAACGTTTCCGGAAAATCAGTACAACTGACCTTTAGTGGTGTATTTTAGCAGCGTGTCCCGGTCGTGTTGACATTGCCGTGGTCGTTAACAGGTAGTAGCCCCGGGGCCATGTCGAAACTGCGTAGCGGGAAAATGCGGTCACTACGCGGCGGCGGCCGTCGCGTTCTCACCTTTTCTTCATGTTCGTTCCACGGCGGCAAAACTTTCAAAAATACGATGTTTACACGGAGAAAAACGCACGAAAATTAAAAAAACGCACCGCACACACACACACGGGGCGATAAGCGCGCACACAGTTCTACACACAACGGCGAACGAGCTCGGCGGCGAATTTCCAAACGAATAACAACAACGGACGACGGCGCGGCGGAGGGGAAGAAAATAATAAATAATAATATAAATACACGGTGTACCGACGATCGAGGGGCCGCGCGTACGAACGACACGCACCAGACGACGAGTAGTGCCTAACGATAAAACTGGCCGAACGTCGACGTGCGCATGCGCGGACCAGGTGAAACCAGATTCCCGATCGGGGCGCTGCCGCACGGCCAGGCGCGAAGACAACGCGGCCGCCACCGCCGCCGGCTTGACCGTTGGCCGTGGCGCGGCCAAGAGCGGTCACCGGTTACGCTGAATCCAGACATTTTTCCTTTATTATTATTATTCTGGCGGACGGTTGTTAATATTGTCCTGATCAGCTGCCGTTGAGGAAGTTATTGGGAGTTGAGCCATAGCAGGAACGATGAGAGAGAATGGATTGAGATGGTTTGCGCTTGTAAAAAGAAGAGAGAGGAATTTGAAACAGTAAAGTAAGAGAAATAGCGATGAAGCCATAGAGGAATTTTGAAGTAGAGTTATAACGAGGCAATGGAGGTGGATTTGATGTAAATGGTGACCAATCCAGATTTGTAAAAAAAAAATTATTTGGTTAGCCCACATTTGTATAGGAATAGGAGATAAGGCAAAATGAAAACTTAAAATCGTAGAGTAGGTATAGTCAGTTATAATTTTAAATTACCTCTAATTGGCGGGCTCAAATGATTAACTGCTACCATGCCTTATTTAGAGAAATGTGTCAAGTGTATAATTTATTGATATCAGATTATAAAAGAATGCAAGCGCCCAGATATCTATAGTCTAGTATATTTAAAAAATTATTCATACTAGTAAGTTATATGCACTAATTTGTGTATTAAGGGGCCGTCTCGTCTATTCGTTAAGGCGCAAAATGTAGGCAATATTTGATTTTAAATAGATTTGAGTAGTAATATGAAGTTATTTTTCAGGTGAATCATTTACATTAGCTTTTGAGTAAATATTTTTAAGTAAAATGTGTTTATTAATTATAGCCGTTTTGTTTGTAATAAGTTGTTTTTTAAAAACGTTTTATAGAATATATTAATAAATATAAATTTACGAGTAACTACTAAAACGAACGTTCACTTGCATTTTGTCCAAAATTATTCGAGCACTGATCACATATGACGGCTAACGTGTAATGTACTATAATTTTGGAAATGCCTACTAACCGCAATTCGCATGTAACATATGGTATGCCACATGTTTAGTTTACACGCGATGACCAATTACTATGTAAAAGTGTTGGTAAATGAATGAACTCAGTTTTAGCCTTGTATTAACCGTCATCAAGAAACAATTATCACTTTAAAGTCAAAATATGATTTTGTTTTTGCTGTAACTTTTTTTTCTTTTATAACAAATAATTTCGGAGATGAAAGTGTTTAATGATTCACAAAATCGTGAATGAGATTTTGATTGCGCCCTAATAAACTACTAGTCCGTTGAACGGTTGAGGACATCTGGTTAGGCAATTAGTGTATGTATATTATATGGTTACTTCTATGTAGTAGACATGCCGTGTCTTGATGCGATTAGCTTATGAATGAATGCTTAAAACAAATCGGTGAGTCAATTGCCTCGAAAAGCCGAACACAAAAATCAATGTCGGCAATTTGTCTTTATCGAAAAATGTACCTACTTGATTTTATTGTTTTATTTAAGTTACATTTTTTAGCTTTGACGCTAAGCATAGAAGGTTGGTATTCATTTTTTTTGAAAAAGATACGTTTTCTTTTGGGAAATTCGACGGAAATCAGCTGGTTTGTTGTACCTGAAAAATGGCCAGCATTTAAGTCTTCGAAACGCGAAAATAAATCACTAGTCCTTTCAAACAATTATAATTATTGTGATTTCATGCGTTTCTAGTACTCTCTAACTAGCCGGTGTTTTTTATTGTTATAGTGGGGTATTATTAGGCTGTAACTTATTTCCCGTTTGACGCGACCCGTCTCCAACTAAAGAGAAAATATTTACTTCGACGTTTTGTTTCCAATATGGTATTAAACTGGTTGACGTGCACTATACTGACAATTTCGATTTCTCCCATTAAATACAACAACAAATAAAAAACCTATGCATTTAATAGCTTTTTCCGATGAAATTATTTCATGAAATAAACATGTAACGAGTTACACGGAATAAACTATAGAAAAAAAATAATTACAATAATTATCATAAAATTATAAAAACTAGTCGATACACCGGCGACCACTATTTTTAGTTGTACTATGCAATAATATAATCTTGGCCAGTAACTATTTAACTATAATAGTATATTATTATTTGTGTAACGGCAAAACCGAATGCCATGTCAACTGTACAAAGCAAACGTATCAAACAAGTAAAAAAAAAAAAAAAAATGTATACGTTTAAGCATTCGATGCGATAGAAATTATATGTTAATGAGTAAAAACACACGATTATACACATCTAACAATTTATCAAAAATAATTGTATAACCTGCCTATGCCAGGATGATAATCAATTCTGTCGTTTCAGCTTTATTTTAATTTATCATACTAATATTAATCAACCATTCCAAATTTTAATAATAAATTATGAACACAACGAGTGTATGAAATATTCATTTTATATAAAATCAATTTTAGTATTCATCTAAAATCAGCGAAACACTTAATTTTAAGATCTAAAAATTGTTTCGAATTAATATGTTTCGGTAAGTAACAATTTTAAATAAATTAAATTTTTTTACTTTTTTAACCTCGTGCTGACATACTACTTTTAATGTTTTTTAAATAAATCAATTAGGTAAACATTATCTAGCCAAGGCTATAATTATAGCCTTATACAGCCCTAAGCAGTTATCTACAATTATTTTATGTTTATTTTTATAACAAAATATATTGAAAAATATTCCCAGATACACTACTATTTGACTTGACAGTACATACTTTTACTATATCACTGGTCGACAAGAATGTGTCCGGGGTTAAGTATTTAAATCGTCCAGTTTAATACAATTATAAAACAAAACATAACATTACTTTAAGACTCCAAGGTAAAAAACCTAAAAAAATAACGTAGGTAATAATAAAAAGATGTTTGACAAAAATATGAAAATTCGGGCGCAAAAGTCATCCAATATAATACAATCTTGTATTAAATGTTATAACTCATAAATTTTCATTTTTGGAAAGATTGGCGAAAGGTATGTATAAATTAAAATTTATTGTATAAGCTATAAAAATTTAAAATCGTTCTTGTAATGTCCGTTTTTGTGTGCCATGTGTATATGTGTGTGTGTGTACCTAAGCCAGAAATTCGAAAAATGTATACTAGGCTAGTAATAGGCTAAATAATAGGCAGACATTTTAAAGAATTCAATGGCAACTAATTTAAAATGAAGAAAACAAACCTTTTTTCGCAATAAATTAATAAAAATCTATCTGAAATAATAAATATAATATAATATTCTTAACTTTTAAGGAATGGTGAACAGCTGAGAACCAAGGGGCGCTGAAACTTTAAATCTGCGCCTGCTCACAGCATACCTAAGTATTATTTAAAATAACAACACAAATAATAATATTTATTTTTATTTTAACGAATTTAAATAATAAAAAGTTATTGAAATAAATTTTTAAATTGAACAGTAAATTATTGTTTAGTTAATTAAAAATGTAATGCAAAACATTTAATTAAGTTTTAATAATAAAATATAATAAAATAAATTATTGTTCAAAATACAGACTATTGAAACAATAAAAAAAAAATGTTTAATACATTATTTGATACATTAAATATAAGTTTATTCAAATAACTAAATAATTTTTCTATAGTTATTTGTCATTTAAATAAAAAATGCCCAAATATTTTAAAAGTGTAGTTTTTTAGTATTCTTGTATACAGAATTTGTCTTTTGAACATTTCAAATTTGTTTATTATATTAAAATTGATATTGGCAATCACTTAATATTGTATAAAAACCACCAGAAGGTCAGAAAGAAACAAAAAACATCATAGTAAATCAATATTTTTAGTTTTGCGACTAAACTCTTTATTTTTTGAAAATTAGTTTTGGTTAAACTAAAACCAATATGTTACATGTTTTATTTTGTAATTGTTGATTTTTTAACATTTGTTTTTATACATAACCATTGGTCTGGAGTTGATTCTGGTTTTGCCCACTCTCCAGGCATTTTTTGTTGTTGGTACGGTAAATGCCATATGCCGTTTCCATTTTGTTGCGTTATTTGTTGATAAAATAAAGGGTCCTAAAAATTAAATGTTTTAAATAAAACACCACTTAAAAATGTATTTGGTGGGAATAATAGCAATTATTAACAATAAATATTAGTGTACTCTAGAAACCTGAAACTCGCATACTACTCACAATAATGCCAACACTCCCTGGACGTATTCTTAAATGTAACCTGTGTTGTTGAAGCCACCGTTGAAAAATACTTTTAATTTTAGGGTTGCTTAAAAGATATTTATGTCCTCGCATAAGGTCCCTGGTAAGAACCTTTGTTCCGAGTCCACTATACATGGCTGCATACAACAAAAAAGGATCATCTTTTGATCTGATATATAAAACCATTATTAATATTTTATTTTATTTGAAAAAAAAAACATTCAATACACTTACAGATCACTTGTAAAAAATATATGAGCATTTTTCTCTATATAATTAAATTCACGTCCCAACATTCGAGCTAAATGTTTACGGCCAATTAATAATACCTTTAAATTGTTCTCAATTAGTTTCTTCATAACAATTTTAACCTAAAAATTAATAATAATAATCGTTATAAGTATTATTTGTTTTAATGAACATTTTAATTTTAAACAATTATACCTAGTTGAATTTATTAATTTGTTTTGTATTGAATGTAACCTTAATATTGTATTTTATTTTGCATTGAACTAAGTAGTATTTAATTTACCTACTAAGGAATTGTTATCTAATTTCCCACGATAGGCATAGGCGACATTTAATCCATCAACGACTACGTCATATGGAGCTGAAACTTTTATGAAATCTTTGAAATCCTGTAGTTCTTTAGGTGAAGAATTATTAAAAATATTATTTCCAACCATTACATTTGACATAAAACATTCATTTAGCAATTTAAACTCTTCTTCGGTAACTTTAATGGGATTTAACAACGTCTGACAATGTGTACATTTTCCTCTGAAATATCAAATTTATATTTATGAATATTGTTGTAGTTTTTTATTTAACTTATGTCTTATATAATACAGTTTAGTAATACTACACATTATAATATTGATAAATAAAGAGTCCAATCAGTTAGCTTAATGCCAACTAATACTTTCTAAAAGATTAAAACTAAAAGAACATTCTTACATTTTTTGAATAATTTTAGTAGAATTGACAGTACAACCTAATACTTGAAGATTATTTACAATTAAGTCTGCCAATTCTTCTCGCACAATATATTCCGTTTCACTCAAAAATTCCAATATTCTTAGGTAATTTAAATTTTCTTTTTGTTTACATAAGTCAAACCAAGCTTGAAATCCTTCTTTCGGTGGTTCGATTGTTCGACTAACACAAATATGCATTAAATTCCAACCTAAATCTGTTTCTCCTTCTTCAAAAGCTTTTTGTACAAGTACTCTGTAAGTGTTACCAGTTATATCATAATAATTTTTCAACGATTTCATGTAATCCAAAGAATCACGCCAAGAAGTAGTACAGCAAAGGCCCATTACAATACCTATAAATATAACATACCTAATACAAAATTTAAAAAACAAATATTAAAACTAATGAATAGTACCTTCAAGAAGAACGCCGTTGAGTATTGTTATATATTTATCATACAACATTTGGCAACGAGTTTTAATAGCCTTACGATCTTCATCATTCAACTGATCTCTACACGCATAACATGTGCGATAAAACAACAGCTCTAATGAAGTGTTTAATTTATTTTTATCGCCTTTATGAACATAATCCATGTACGTTCTAGCTAAATCTAAACGTTTCATTTGGGAGCAGGCTTCCAAAATGCATCCATTGATATTGTTTTTGTTCATATATCCTTTGGGTACAGACAATACTGCCTTGCACACTGCATCCCAATCACACATACCCGGGCTACTCACATATTCTGTAATCATACGTTTTTGTTTGCCACTAGCCGCTCGTCCATTCAATTTACGCGGCACCACAACGCTAGTGTCAGGCAGAACTGATGAAAACGGTTTACATGTCAATTTTATAGCTGGCCGTGGATAAATTACATGATAAATTTTCCCAAAAATATGTCTTTTGAACAAGTTCATTATTGAGACGTTACACTAATTTGTTTACTACATGTTGAAATTAATATATATAATTATAATAAAATACTAATACAGAATACTAATAAATAATAAGTTAACTTTACATACGACCATGTATAATGTATATTGTATGTAATGAACCGTGGGCAATAAACACACTTCACTCTTCAGTCTCCAACAATGTGACATGTGTGTGAAGATAGCGCTAAAAATTATCAACTCCGTAACCATTGATAAGAAATTCGTTACCGCAATGGTAAACCAAATTAGCTTAAAAAATATTTTTTAGAACGGAATAAAGTATTTGTTAGAACTGTTAGAAGCCTATGATCTCTGGCATGGTATTTATTATTGCCGTAATGATAATATTGATTTATTTTATTTTATAGTTTGATAGTTATTTTATTAGACATAAATTTCAATGTGTTGAAGTTTGATTCTGGCAGAGGCATCATCCGTTGTCATCCGCATACTACGTAAAATTCCATGGTGCGCATACATTGTTTGGCAGATCTAATAAATCCACTATCAATTTTACCGTACATTTGCCTGTTTAATATAATTTAACGACACATCTTATAAACATATCACAAGAGAATAAAGACGGTTTAGATACAAACATCTTTGAAACGAAAGAAGTCTATCAGTCGCCCAGCAAAGTAGAACTATCGACCCCAGAACCAAAGATAAAATTTCCAGACGGTTCGTTGAATTGCAAACATCAATATTTTCAAGAAATAGCAACTGGGGCCCTGTGGCGTCGAGTTTAAAGAGTTTGTCACATGTCATCACTTCAGTGAAGAGCCTCTTTTTGAGTGTTTTGATAAGATTTTTGCTATGCGCGCTTGTGTGAAAAAATATCCAGAAGTCCGCATTGCAGGAATGAAATATAACGAAGAATTAGCTATTACAAAAGAACAAAAAAGAAAAAAATATTTACAAATGTGATGACAAATCAACAAGCAATACCCAAACAGAAAACTGAAATCAAGAAAAAAACATAAACTTGTTGTTAATTTAATTTTTGTTTTATAATTCACTTTCAGACAGTGCCAAAACAACTGAATTACTTCTATATAGTAAAAAATAATAATAATAATAAGGACCATTTAAAAATTATTGGTTTCTAAAAATTGGACCTAAATTAAATTAGTATCTTTGACAAGAACATAAAAATAGTCTTGGCGCTTATTTTTTAATCTCTACAGTAGTTATATTAAAATTATTTTTGACTATACTACACAAAAAAATCAATGCATTAAAAAAATATTTTTAAAATTTCAAACATAGGTACCTGAATAATGTACGTACAAAAAAATTAAAATTAACAAATTATTTTGGAGGTTTTGGCAAACTCTTTTTGATTTTGAACCACTATGACGTTTCTTAGAAGAGATATGAAGGAATTACAATTTCTTATTGCACCATAGTATTATTATTATAATTAATAATTATGTCAATTGGTTCAGTGAAACAAAAACGTATATTGAGAAATTAACACGGTAAAATATTTCTTTCTTTTTCCAAGTCTAGGGCAATTTTCCTACGCGGTATTATCTAGAATCAAGCCTGTCATGCCTGTTTAGTCATGGGGATGTAAGGTGCTAAAACAACAAAGGAAATAAGTGGCATCAAAAAGTACGAAGCAAATTTAAAAGTAGAATTTATGTATTCTAAAGTGTTATAAGAGTATAAAATATACGATTTATTAAATTTGTCAGCTGCTTTAAATTTGTAAAAATGATAAATTAATAATACTTGCAGTATTAATGCCAGTGTGTTAATCGAAAACTTTTATATTTACGATCATTATAATACAAACTGAGAATTGCAGTTGATGGTTATTTTTGTTTTAACAATAAACACAAGTACTACTATCAGTCATCATCAATTGCACACGCAGGGCAAAATACACACTATGATTAATTATTCCAAAATACTGTACAATTTGGTAGTATGCAGATTCCAAGTATGTAAGATTATAAAAAAATAAATATAGGTCGTTGGGAGGGAATTCGGAGCAAAAATATTGACTACCGGGCACGGGAGGCAACAATAGTACTTGTTGACCCAGTGTAACCAGGCCCATATATACTGATAAAAATTAACACGGGAAGATACTTATCATACAAAAACGCGACGGCCATCTTCTTAAGACTATAATGTTACATCTATACATTATTATAATTTGTCGTGTACTGATAGGTATAACATACTATTATAATACTAAATAGTCCGTCACAAAATGGCAGTCACTGTTTTGCTTACATTCAAAGTGACCCTGCTGCTTTTATCTACTCTGTGGTGTAACGATAAGAGACATAAATGTCACTGGAGGCAACTAGTACATAATTTTGAAGACTACCCGGGGATGGAAGGTAATAAATGAATGTATTACACCATTGGTAATTAGAAAAGGTCGCGGAGAGAGATTTTTGGATGGAGAGTACTTGGCTGACATACTTCCATTTATATAGGGAAGACAATTTAGTACTTCCACGTCATATTCCTTACAACCGCAAACAGTAATTTTTGATTAGTGAATTCAAACGCGGCGCTAGTGAAACAGTAGAACAAATTGAATTCGAAATCTGTAATAGTACGGTTCGAATGTTTGGCCACACTGATGTTCGAACCAACTCTGGTTGTTCCAAGATCCAACAAACGTTGGTATATCAACAGTTCGTGTTATCGCTATTCATATTATGGCTGCCGGCTAGCTGATGTTCCCGTGAGAGTCACACGACCGTCCGATAAAGCCCAACGCCATTTGGTATTTATCAAAAAAATACCGACGTACCTGTAACTTTTTGTAACGGTGTGTCCCGAACAGTTTTGTTCAGACTTCGGTAATCAGTTTTCGGTATAATAATTATTGCCGTCCAACGCGCTTACCTAGGTTTGACTTCAATATTATTATACTTAATAATATTATATCCCAGTCGAAACTCGTGAAAACATAAATTGGTACACCGTACTATATTATGCCGAATGCCGATGCGTTATCGGCCGTGCGATCCGGTGCCATTGAGTTGTCGTTACCCGTGTCGTGTTCATTGTTGAGGTTTATTATTGTTGTTGTCGTTTTCTTGTCAGCCATTCCACGTTATTGCCGCTGAGCCCACATTCGTGGACATTTCAGACCGAAGAGTCCGGTGTTTGCCGTACGCGTTTCCCGTCGACACTTCTGCGCATTCCGCCAAACGTACTTAACCGCTACCGCTCCCGCTGCCGCCGCCGTCAACCCTCGGGTCCGCCGTGGTGCGTCTAACCTCTATCTTGTACGGTGCCGGCTTCGCGGACCAAGAGCCAACGGCAAACGTTGCGGGTCGTATGGATGCTGTGCACAATGTGGCCATAAAGATGTGACATCGTGTCAGACATGCGTGAAACCATAATATGATCGCCGGACTTGTACAGTTTATAGGTAAAACAGGTGGCTGTCCCGGCGGGCCAGTCGTCGCTAGAAATATTGAAAGTGATTCTACCTACTTGTAAATTGTGTTATGGTAGGTGACAAGAGTGCTAACGACGACTGTGGTAACAAATACTTATCATGTTCACGGCGAACGTAAGCCATGAAGGCGAGACTTTTCGTGTACCAAACGAAATAGTTAAGCTGATTCAGTTATTTGAAAGTGTTCCATTCGCACTTAACCAGAACGCCAGCACTGACCTATCCTCGAACGTCACTACCAACAAGTCTTTAATCTTCAATACCGACAAGGCCAAAAGTGTCAACAGCGAGGAGCCCTTGAACGCCACTGACGAGAACGATAGTTTTGTCGAAGAAGTTATATTTGAATTTAATATGGATCAATCTAATGAAAAGTAAATGAGTTTTTCTTAAAATTCACATGTCTCATCCACTTGTTAAAATAAAATTTAAGTTAAACCTAATTACTATTATAATTGTATCTTGTTCAATATTTTAGACATAACAATAGTTATGTCTTCTTGGACCTGGTCTGGCAAAACATACAGCGTTAATAACATCTCTTTGATAGATTGATTTATATAACCAATTTAAATTTCACTAAAACCCAAATTTGTTTTTATGTTTTCAATATTCCCTATGTTTTTTGCTATAAGTATTTAAATAATAAAAGTTGAACAGGAATAATCATGACTAACCAGTAATTTAAATAGTAAGTACCTATTTTAAATAGTATTTTGTTTGTTCCCCCAAAAATAAAAAAATTCTGATAATTCTTTCCTCTTAAAAAAATAACTACACCACTTATTAGTATGAAATTTACTATTATTTTCTTATAATATACAGTTATATTTGTGTATATAACAAACTGATAAATATCATTATTTTAACATGTTATATTTTACTTTTTTTTGCATACATTGATGTTGTTTACATACTTTTATTTAACATTTTTTATTTCAATTTTAGATGTAGTGATGCCAGAATGGTTCCTATGCCTAAGTGTTTGGTGAATAACCCTAGTATATCAATCATACCGGCAAAAAGTCCTCAGACCTTGAATTCACCCTCAAGACAACCACAAAGAACATCAATTAGTATGTTACCACGAGGTATAAGTTTATAAAGTTTATAAATAACATTTTTGCACATTACTTTATTAATTTATTAATTTACAGCTACGCCTGTAACTACGCCAAGTGCAGTTGTTCCTGTGTCAAACGAACAAAGTGTTATCAATGATAAATTAGTATGTAAAGTCTTAATATTAAATACTCATTATTCATTATATCAATTTAACTCATGTTATGTTTTAGGTTCAATCAAGCGCTAAAAACAAAACTAAAAGAAACGCACTTAATCAAGACACGGATCTATCGTAATTCATAAGATTAATTTATTTTATTTTAATGACTCAGACCTTTCTTGCTATAATTCTGTATTGTTAAGTTGTTGAATTTTTAACATTTTTCCTGAAATTGATTTTTATTAAACTCTTTCAAACTTGCCAAACTAATTTTTTTAATAAATCGTAAATTATATCGATATACTTCAAATTTTTAATGTAAATACAATCAGGTATTATTCTTATCAAGTGATAAGTCGAAATACATGAAAATTGGGGGCAGGGGCTGTTTAATGCTGATTAACTTCAGTCAGGTATAAGCCACAGGATTGTTTTAATATAATAATAAGACAGCAAAAATACCTTTAAAACATTTAGTCTGCCTTGTTCGACATCACTTCTAAAAATAAAATTTAACCAATAATGTACATAAAATGACACTTTTTTGGCGAAGAAAAGGGCTATCGTTTATTTGTTTTATGGGGCATATTGTCTTTTTTTGTCTCTTATCAACAATTTTGGGCTTTAATCAGAATTTTTTATTATAATTGAGTAATACAAACAAAAAAAACTTCTTCTGCTAACTGCCAAGTTTTCATTACCAATCTTCATGTCTTCATTACCAATTAAATAATTTATGTGTACTTAATATTTTTTAATTCATTTTAGAACATTCAAAGTACCGAGGCTTTCTAAAACGCCAGACAAAAGATCAAGAACCTCCAATAAGTCGTGTGCTAAAAATGAACAGACTTCGAAAGTTAATCATCCTTCAAAACCACTTCAAGTTCCAACAACGAAATCACTTTGTTCTGTGACTAACGTGATAAACATAGTTGCTCAATCAGGAGCAAAACAGTTGTCTACTCCAATTTCAGATTTAAAAAAAGATACAGTAACCAATGAAACTGAAAAAAACATTAATGTTAAAGTAAAGTCTTACGAGTTATCTGTCAATGGTCCACTTATAAAGGAAGATGGTGGTCTTAATATGAAAGGCAAAAGGTATTTATTTAAGTCAAATAAGCCCCTTTCACACCTAACGTGTATGGTACGCTTGTTTTTTCATACACGTATGAGTGAAATGTTTTTTTTGAATGGTTTACTTTATAACAACGCCCGTACTATAGGCACAGGTGTGAAATAGGCCTTGTTATTGTTGTTATTAATGTAAGCAAAGCCATTGGCAATCTTATTATACATAATAATATATAATAGTAGATGAATTAATTGGTTAAATGCTGTTGTTTTGTTAGGATACTCGAATGTTTTTATAATGGATGAAGGTTTGTGTGGTCTATTTAGTATGCCATGCCGTTTGAATGTTTCCGTGAATACCTACAAAATATGTGATGGGAAAATAAACTTAGGAAGGTGGTACTCTTGTGAATCACTTATGGTTGTCTCATTCTAACATTACCCATTAAGCCTGTGTAGTCACCCAAGTATAGGTTGTAACGCATGGTTCGTTGCCAGAATTTGATATATAAGGTGAGGCAGGGGGGTGCAGCATAGAGCAATTCTAAATATTATGTTGTAGCAAGGAGCAGGATCGTGGTGAAGTGTAAAATTGTTGACAAAAATAACTCCTAAATTGTTGTTTGAAACTTATTAGTAGTCATTTATATTGATACCTTATATTTAATTTGTATGTTACAGCGAAGGAATTTTTGTATACAAAAATAATCAAATTATTGATATTACAAAACCTGACTTGGTAGACAATCTGTTATTGTGTGTTGGTGCAGGTCTTAAAAGAGTTGAGTATTTATTTTTTCTACAGTTTAAGAATTTGAACATAGCGTAATATATGTTAAAGTAATCCTGATTTTAACTTCTTTTTGTTTTCTGTAGTGAACCAACTTTAATTTCTTTATACCTCTAAAAAATGTAAAAACTTCAATTTCAAACACTATAATTGCAAAACACAAAAAAGTAAAAATCAGGACTGTTGATTTACAATCTTTAATTATTTAATTTTTTTTTAAATATGTATAGTTTGGTACTAAAGAAGAATATGATATTGCTAAACAATCAAACATCATACACTCTCCTGAACATAGTTGGTGGTAATTATCTTATTTAGTTACAAATTGAAATAGAAATATACTTATAAATATTTTGATATTGATAATATATTTGTTTAGGTCCACGGATTCAGAAAATGTTTCTACAACTAATTCTAAACAGAGTCCAGTGAATTCAAATAACATGTTAGTTTAATTTGTATACACACAACTTTTATATATGTATTTAACAATTTTTTTTGTTCCTTTTTGATTTAGTGTTACTCAGAAAAGCCCACAAGCAGTTAATCAAACTTCTCATAAATCACCATCACCACATATTGGAAGTCAACATCCTTCTACCTCAAAACATCCTAGTGTTAGCGTAACATTACAACAAATGAAAGGGTCACCGAATGTTTTTTCACCCCAAGGCCAACCTAAGCAAAATGACGTAAAAATGCAATTGTCAAGTAATCAACTAGTAACGTCGCCAAAAGCTACAATTACCCAGACGCAGTTATCATCAAAACAACAAGTGTTAAATAGTTCACAGTCATCATCACCTTCAAAACTTACTATGGCTACAGTTAATCAAGTTAAGACTGCATCCAAACAAACAGCGGGACAACCTTTGGCTCCCAGTAAACTTCAGCCGGCTGAAAATAATCAGCCTACTGTAAAAACCTGTAGTAAATGTGGCGCTGAAGCGGTAGATGACTTGTGTACTACTTGTCGTGTATCTTCTCAATTCAAAGGCGTGACTGTAACGCGAATTGAAACACCAGGTAAAAACAACTATTTTTATAAAATATTTCTAGACCTCTAGGCATACAAATAATAAGTTTGTTACGATGTATACACACGGTTTGTCAGTCCCAAAATTCCTAAGAAAAAACGCTCATACTATACACTTTACTGTTAGGTGTGAATCGACCAAAGATAGTATATTAGTATAATGTTACTATGTTTACTTATTAGAATTTTTTTTTTTTTATTAGCTACCCCAATATCCAGTAGTGTTGGTTCAGTCATATTGTTGTCATCAGAGGACGAGGATGACGGTGAAATAAATAGTAATGAAGACACTACACTTCCGGTTGAGCCGATTGTCAGTAGAGTGGACTCGATGGACCTCATAAATGAATATGTTGCCAATTTGAGACGTGAGTGTTTTATAAACTATTTTACAAAATGTAATACTAATAACTAGTTAAATGTAATTTTTTTTGTTTAGAAAATCCATTGCATCTAGAGGATAAATTATTACAGATTGATTTGAGCAGTAAAGATTTTTTTAAAATTGAAAATTGTTATAGTATTCGAATTGGTAATTTTAAAACCACACCATCTGATCTCGGTGATACTGTTGTTTGTTTACACGGAGTAAGAATAACATTAAATGATGCAGGTAAATTCAATGGTTTTATAGACAAGGACCATTAGTATTGATTGGAATACTTTAACAATAATACACTTCTTTTTTCCCCTCCAATTAGATAGCCAACCGGTTACGCTTGATTTACGTGCAGAAAATATTGTAAAAATATTGGCATTTTATGGAGATAAAATGCCTACTATTATTATATATACTACACATTTAGCGTCTGCAGGAATTCGTCATTTGTTAGGAATGCGCGATGATGGCAAAGGTTATTTCTATGATCCGACTTTTAGAGGTTAGTATAGATGATGCTGGATAACATATTTGGTACGGTCGGTACGCCATTAAGCTTCTTTTAAATTTTCTCCAGTTTATGTCATAAATACTGTTATTATATAGTATAATTTAATATATCTGGACATAATTCGCTAAAATGCACAAACACATTTTGTCATCCTTTGATACACTGTGTTTGTGCTAATGTTACCCAAGTGTGGACACGACTAACAATATGTTAAAATTATATTTTTTGTTTTAGACAATACTGTGAATAAAATTATTTTATCATTTGGACTAAAGAAAAATGAAAATACAACTTTAGAGAAGTTGTTACAAAGGTTCCCCAAAGGGAAGTATGAACCTGTGACTACGTTTCAAGTTAATAAACTTATATCCGCTGCTTCTTCTGTTGTGAGATTTTATTATTTTCATTTATTTATATTATGCAACTTTGTATAATTAACCAACCCAATTCTTTGTTAATTTTATGTATTTTTATTTTTTATTTTTAGGATAAACAGTATAAGAAAAAAGTCGAGAAAACAAGAAATATGGATTATAATAATACCGAGTAAGTTCATTTATTGCATTTGTTTTTATTTATATGATAGAACTAGTAAGAATCGACATATGAAAGAAAAAAATTTGACCAATGTAGGGTAAATTATAAAAATTCATTGAAATAGCATTCGTAAGTACCCAAAAAAGGATTTAAAGAATTTAAAAAAATGGTTGGAATTCAGAAAAACCGTAGATAAGGTTTTGAATTGGCCCGGACTCAGTTATCACCTGAAATTAACCTGCAACACATCCTGCACACTTTCAAGAAGTATATATTATTTACATATTAATTGTACTTGTGTTTTTTTTTACAGAATTATCAATTTTAATGCTGATAACAATAATTGTAGAGTAAGCATCTTCGATTTTACAGGCCTAAGTGTCGATGAATATTTAAACGATGCACTCGTCGACTTTTATTTAAAGTAAGATTTGAATAATACAACTTTTAAAATAATAATACCTACAAAATATTAACTAATTGTTATGTATTTGTTAAAGTTATTGGTTTATGCGGCATGTGTCTGAAAAAGACCGAAGACGATCATATCTTTTTAGTACTTTCTTTTATACAAGACTGACAACACCAATAGGCGGAAACGATAAAACCAAACCAAAAGCACAATGCCGTCATGATCGTGTTAAAAAATGGACGAAAAATGTCAACATATTTGAAAAAGATTTTATTTTTGTACCAATAAATGAAAAGTAAGTTACATATGATAATAAATATTATCTATTAGCTTACATCATATAAGTAGAGCTTGACTTAAGAAATTCTTATATAACATTAATAATGTGCCAATTCCTAGGTCATAGGAAATTTTATTTTACAATTGGGTGCTTTGCCTTAACCCCTTTTCCCCTTATTACAATAATATTATAACTCCAAATGTATTTTTCACAAAACAACTTATGTTCAATAGTATATAATAAAACAAAATACCAATGGTAATTGGGAAGTTTTATTTCTATTTACAAAATACTTACAGTACAAAAAACAAAACTAAGTTATTCAGTATTGTTTAGCCAGTGGGCACTAAAAGAACAGTGATAGGTTAGCTTTATTTAGGTCCCTTAGATCACCTACTTTACGTCTGAAGTCTTAGAGGTGTGAGACCCCCTATCCCAAAGAGAGGCGTGTAGAGTTTTCGGTCAGTCAGCTTTTTTGTGGGGGCTTTGAAGGGTCTGAACTTTTCCAGCTTTTCTATTTCATAGCTTTACTTTATCTACGAGTGTCTAATCAAGACTAAGATGGATAGTTGGTGTAACCCACACCTTTTATCCATCTTGAGTTTTAAGTTAACAGTAATGGTACAATTATTTGCTAGTATTATTCTTACCTATTATGTATAGTCCTAAAATTCAGTGGTGTAATGAATATTTATTTATTTTTCTTAGCTATCATTGGTATATGGCAGTTGTGTGTTATCCATATTTAACAGGCCCAATTCATATGGAAACTGGAAGTAAAGTCGACTTGCCAGATATAGACCGATTTGGTAAGACTACATAAATAAAATTTATTTAATATATTATAATAAGTTGTATAATACTTACTATGGTACAAAACCTTTGATTACCTCTTTTTATCAATTGGGAAATAAATTGAGAAAACTCTAAAAAAAAAAATAGTTTTTCAATTTGAATACACTGTAACTTTATAAGAGAGAATGTATTTTCTTGTGATGTTTATTGAAATTTTTAATTTTATAAAATAATTTAATAACAATTGAAAATTGGAATAAAAATTATTTTCTCGATATAATACAATATAAATCTACTTAAATAACAGCTTTTTAGCTTATATATATGTATGAAAAAGTATTAAATATGTTTGAGAACAATTTTTTTTAATGAAATTTGATTAAAAGAAGGAGTTTATGTATGCGACACATAGATTGCGCAAAAAATATTTGGACACATTTTTTAACAATAATCCTAAATGTAATATTTTTCAATATATGTTGTATGTGGTTTCTCAAAATGTGCTAACAAATTTACAAATAGGTAATATGAGTGTATACATATCTAGAATGTGAAATAAACGTGTTAAACTGTTAATTATAAATATAAGTCAACTATCTTCAATTAAACTCCGTTTGTTTTTAGAACCAGATAATTTTCATTTATCTCCTTGTGCGGAAAATTCTGAACGCGATGAAGTAGATGGAAACTCAGAAGACCTTAGATATTTCCATGTGAGTATAATGTAATATATAATTTTATAAATGCCTAATTTTTATGTAATCTTTTTTAATGTTGTGTCTAGCTTAACTATGACTATTATGATGAAAAAGAGACAAGTACTTATGAATCTGATGTTGAAGAGTTGAAAAAATCCGAACGACCTCCTATTAAACAGTAAGTTACTTTTGTAATATCAGAAATGGCAATAAAAAACCCACGGTTTTTTTTATGATTATTAAGCTTAAAGTTAATTATGTTCATGTATACTTAAAAAAACTGGGTTGGCTCATTTAAAAAAAAAAACCTGGGTTATTGCCGACTTTGAATATCATATTATTAAACTAATATAATGTTTGTGTATTAACTTTTTATTAATTGAGAGCTAAAACATATTTGCGTTTTTGAGTAGTTATTCATTTTTGTGTCACTAGGCCATGCATTTTAATATTTGACTCGTTATATGGTGGTACAAACCGAGCGAATATTGTTGCTACACTACGAGAATATTTAGCTGAAGAATATTATGCCAAAAATGGAGAACGCAGAGAATTTCCCAAAGAAATCGTGAAAGGTAGTGCTGTCAAAGTTCCACAACAAACAAATTACTCGGATTGCGGTCTATTTTTGTTACACTATTTTGAAAAATTCTTTGAGGTGAGTGTTTCAATTTATATTTAATTTATGTTTCATATTATAATTAATTTTCATAAAATATTTCAGTGTCCCATTGTCGATTATAGTTGCCCAATATCACATCTTGAGCATTGGTTCTCCTGTGACGATGTCACTAAGAACGCGAAAAAACGAAAAGATTTTCTGAAAATTGTTTTAAAAATCATGGAAGAACAAGGACGTAAAGTTGAACTACCAACTTTGAAGTTTGTATCCACAAACAATTCTTCAGGTGTACACTATCGCTCTTACAACCCGTTTAATCATGACTACGATAGCATGGATTATGAAGAAAATATGGATAGTGAAGATTCTGAAATGTGCGATGAAGAGGACTATATGGAATCTGATGAAGAATACGTCAATCCCAATTATGATTATGAAGATGAAGACGAAGAAGACGGTTATGATCACGATCCGACAGATTTTTACCCTGAACATTCTGAAAACGAAGATGAAACTACGTATGTCGAAAGTGCACAGTGGTCTGACGTTCAACATGAAGATGGCATTGAATACCATACCGAGTGAGTAGTAATTATAGTTACAACTTGATTTTATGATCACTATGCTGTTTTGCGATTTGAAATATCGAGACAATTGTCTGTAATATTGTACGCTGTTTGTTCTACAAAAAGTATTACACAATTTTTAAGCAGGGTTTGGAAAGAATGCATTACTTTTCAATGAATGAGCCTTATATGCATTCAAACAAATGTGTTAAAAATTTAATTTTTTTCATCTTTTTAGGGGAGGTTCCAAACAATAAGCTTTAGACTTAAAAAATTTTTTGTCTACATATTTTTTTAGTAGTATACTACTACTATGAATTTACTACTACGTAAATTCATAAAATTGGCAGACGATGTACAAATTTTATTTTAATAATTACAAACGTAAATTAATTTAAGTTAAGAAAGTATTGTTTTTACAATATAATCTCTATACCAATAGTTAAACTATAATTACGTTTTCAAAGTATTTAAATCATCATCGTGGTACTCAGCTGGAGACTTATTAATTAAACCAATAATGGTTTATTTTTATTTTAACTTAGTATAATTTATTATGACCATATATTTTATTGATTATCAAATGATATTTTTTTAAAAGGAACATCGGGGTTGATGTGGATGAACCTGATGTAAACCCCAATAATCATGGAAATGTCAGTCACCAGAACAATGAACACCTAGATTCTTATAGATCCGCCTATGTGGAACATGAAAATATTAGTGAAAACATCTCGGCGGCACAAAGTTTTAAATCGAAAAAGGCTCAACGTCTAAATCATAATAAGTAACCAACCAATTAATAAACTTACAAAAATGGTTAAACGTATCAAGCATAATATTAGATATTGTTACAGTAATTAAATATTTATTTACCTTTGAAATTGTCAGTAAAATTATTATGCTTGTTCAAAATAAACACGGTGGTGTTGCTCTAAGAAAAAGATTTTAACCAGGGAATATTGTATAATGGTCAACAATAAAAACACTTTTTACCCCTAATTGTTACGGTGTAATTTAAAACGCCATTTTGATTTATTATAAGCATGTTCATTCCACATTAATTAAGTTATATAAAATTACTTGTAAATTTATTTTATACCTAATGGTGATTTTATATATTTTTTCCTAACTAAAATGTTACAACATATTTATGTATGTATTTTATTATGTATATTGTATATAGTGAAGTGTGTTAAAAGTATATATTTCATTTTATAATGATCTTATTTTTGTCTATATTTATTTTAATAATAATAATATGTTAAATGTTTTATGCACGTAAAGTTGACTCTATTCTCTCATAGATCAGTCCTGATATCTCTAACTGATATGTTTTAAAATACCGCAGAAAATATTTGTTTTAAGAAAATAATATTACAATTGTGTCAATTAAAACTCGTAGAAATGCTGCTTAAAGACTATTTTTTACACGCTTTTATTTTAGTTTCTATTTTTTGTCAAAGAGGAACCTTGTAATCAATATTTTATTACAATAGCTCTATATAGCTCTCTATTAGTCAGAGATTAAGTCCGGATGAAAAATAAAAAAAAAAATGACAAAAGCGTTACAAAATTAGTTTTAACAAAAACTTAAAAGTTGGCGACTTGCGAAATTAAGTAAGTTTTTTGCTTAGACAAATGCTTTTTTCACATGATTCAGTTTTTTCGTCTGGTATACCTAATTTGTACTTAATTATTTATTATATTTGCGCACGAAAAAAAGCAATATCTATGTACATTTTTTAATTTCGGTATATTTTACATTTTTTTTTATTCAAGAAAACGAGATACGGCGTTATGTGTTTGAATGTGTTGTAATTATATAATAATATTATACTGCCATATAATCATTTAGTATAGATTGTAATATACACTATATTATAGTATACATAATAGGTATATGCCATGTTTTAATGGTGTGTTGAAACTTGAAACTGCACACACTTCTGCGCCTTTGGTATTAAACTCTCACTCTTTTTAATATGGCTAGTTCGTCTCATGGCACTCAGGTTAACAGAGGAACTGACGGCAATAATTTGGGACGCGAATTATGAAATTAATTATTATGCAAAATAATACCAATTTTTCATATTTTCTGCAATTTTATTATTATATATACAAAAAAAAAACAGAAAGTCAGTTAGACAAATGCTTTTTTCACATGATTCAGTTTTTTCGTCTGGTATACCTAATTTGTATTTAATTATTTATTATATTTGCGCACGAACAAAAGCAATATCTATGTAAAATTTTAAATTTCGGTATATTTTACAATTTCTTATACTAACTTTATACAAGAAAATGAGATACGGCGTTATGTGTTTGTAGGTGTTGTAATTATATTTTAATATTTTATTGCCATATAGATTGTAATATACACTATATTATAATATACATAATAGGTATATGCCATGTTATAATGGTGTGTTGAAACTTGAAACTGCACACACTTCTGCGCCTTATACTATACAGGTGGTATAGATCATAGAATATAATATGGTGTTACATAATTGTCGAGAGTGTGAAGTTATTTTATTATTACCATTGATTGTAAATACCAATTCCCGTGACAATATAATCTTGCGGGCCCTTAGCTTTACAAATTTGGGGGAAGGGGGCATTAGAGACGTACACCCGCCCAAAAAAAATTATCTCTATACTATCCCTGTTAATAAAGCTTCTAAATAATTAAAATCATGTTTAGTATACAATTATTATGTGTATGGTCAATTTTTATTTAACATTGTTTTTGGTTTAAATAACATAAACAAAAACACATATTTAATTAGGTTCTAAATATGTATGAATAGTTTTTTAATTGAAGTGATATAGTATAGTTTCTAAAAACGTTTTTAGGAATTTGATATCATATTAACACTTATAACACGAAGAAGGTTATTTATTTTTTTGGCCTTATCGTTTTAACGTCAACTACTGCAGATCAGATAGTAGATACACATTTTTTGTGTTCATAATTTTTCCCCTTGTAATTTGATCGCAATAATATCCAAGCGATAAGCTCTTTATGCAAATTACAAAGAGTTTTAAATTTTCCTGTAGCAATATGTTTTCTGAGCACGTTATAGATTGCCGAAGCCAAACTCTCATGCCACTGTTCATGTAGTTATAATAATATAATAATACGTTTCATTATTAATATTAGTAACGTTATTAAAAATCGTTCTAATGAAGACCGCTAATTAGTGGGAAAAAATATATAATAATTGTGCGTTATGCGATAGCATAAACCTTAACTTTTTACAATAGAAATAAAAGAGGCAACAGGCAAGATCCTTATAGAACTCCAGATAGCATGGGTCGTGGCATGAGGATAGATTCATAAATGTTCACTTTGAAGAAGAGGTTTACGAGGAAAGATTAAATTAAGTTTGTTGGTTGGAAAACAGTCATTCATGTCAGATGTTATCGGATGCCTTTACAAAATGTAAAAAGATTTTGTAAATATCTAGACTTATTTAATATTTTTTAAATGTGCGACTATTCATATGCAATTGGCGTACGATTTATAGACAACATAAGTAAGTTTGACGTCATTTTGAAAATTATATGTTATATTTAACAATAGTCAACATGCAACAAAAACATGTTTGTGTTCATGTACGAAAACCTAACAACAACTGTATACATAATTATTCGTGTACAAACCCTACATAGAAAAATATGGTTCGCTATTATAAGAAAAATACATGTTTAAGTCGGTTCTCAACAACTATTGAAAAGATTTTATTTGTATTTGTGAAGTATTTCAGAATTTGATATCAGATTAACGCGTAGAACACGATGATGTTTATTTATATTTTCGTCATTATCATTATAACATCAAATGCAGGTAATATATTTTTTATTAAACATAATTATATATTTTACACTATTATTTATACATATTGTTTGTCCTTGTTATTTGTTGTATGCTGAATATGATAAAGTCAATGCTAGTTGTCAACTATCTAGAGAGCTATGGATTTTTAATTATTATTACTATTTAATATGATGTATTAAGTAGGTTACTATTTATAATATATTTCATTAATGTTTGTCCTTGTAATTTGCAATTCGCAATAATCTCTAATGACAACTTCTGTAAATATTTACTGAACTTACCTGCTATCTGTAGTATTTTTATCGGTTTTCAAAAAACTAATTTCTAAGTATTATATTATAATGTTTTAAGGCACACACCTAACTTATTGATTTGTTTTATGTTGAATATTATAAAAAAACAATGCTAGTTGTCAACTACCTAGAGAGCTATGAATTTTTAATTCTTAAATTCTTAATAATTTTTACAAAGCTTTCAACATTTAATTTTAGTCATGTGCATGTTCTTAATAAATGACGATGGATTGCTTTAAAAAAACTACGCCGGTCGCAAACGATACTCCAGAGAAAACAAACTATACAAGTTTTAGGGCCCTCAATTTGGTTTCAAATTACAATTAACAATGAAGGGTTTTGGGCGAACGACAGGCGGCTTGGGCAACTAAGGATAGGGAAAAGAAAATAATTAGTGTCGTCTAATGCAAGTAGATTACTATATTTGTCCTGAAAAGGACGGTTTTTTGTGATCTATGAAGGATCCCTTGCCATGGTCGGCGATTGATATACCGAATAACTATAGTTATTGTCTTCCACGTTCCCTGACGTAGAAAATTACTCATGGCAACTGTTAAAGATTTTTTCATTGTTTTAGAGGGAGCTCGCCAAGTCTGACTGGCTTTTATTTAGATGCTCTATGACTGCTCTATGGCTGCTGGTGTTTAATAGCTAGCACAGTCGCGTTATTTATTATTTCATATTAGTTAGTGGTGACCAATAAAGAACAAATGTATGTGTTCCTTGTAAACCCAGACTTTGTGCCTGGGACTAAGGAATTGATAGAAGTCATATATCCTCTTCAGCAATTTTAGTTTTTTTTTGTTTTTAGCATGTTCTGATTCGTATAAGCGTAATTTTCGATACACATCCAGTGAAGAGCAAATAGATCACTCTCCATCCTTTTTCAGCGAAATTAACAGTCTTTATCTACAAGACAGGTATGATATTATATATGTACCTATTTACTTATTTACTTTAGTTTAACTGTATTTTACAGTGTTTACTGTTTATACCAATATATTTTAATTGCTTTGAATTACTTATCTTAAATTATTCATAATAATTTTTATTCTTAATATACATAACAGTATTAATACCTTACTTTAATATTTATTACAGATATTCAAACGTGGTTTTAGTTGTAAATAATGAACGAATTTCCGCTCATAAACTTGTGTTAGCTTTAAACAGCGAATATTTTGGGTATTTAATTCTTATTATTAAGTATATTCACTATTGATAATGTTAGCTTAATGTTAATTATTTAGTATAATAATAATAAAATATGTTCTCAATAATTAATTACTTATCGATAACGTTATTAAGTAATGTTGTTTTTGGAAAATATGAAAAAACATATTTTTACCTCAATGTTTTTAAATTTTTGTAAATGTTATATTTATTATAGAAAAAATTCTTATTATAAACTAATTTAAAATGGCAAGCTTAATTTTGTGTTACTAATAAAGAAATAAGAGCTTTTTTTGTTTAAAATCAAGGTTTTTTTTAAATTTGGTTATATTGTTACATTGTTAATTTTACAGCGCTTTATTCTATAATGAAGGTCTTATGAAACCCTTTCAGACGGATGTGACACTAGGGTTGGATGGAACTTCTGTAAGCTCATTTAAAGTACTTCTTAAATGCATTTATACCGGTCAATTGAATTTAAGCATCTTAGAGGTAACGTAAAATTAACGTAGCTTACCGGTTTTCAAACGGCTTAAAAACAATAATTGTTATAGGACTATTCGATTATTTTTTTTTTGAGGTTTTTTGTATTTAATTGAAAAATATGTACGTGAAAACAATATTCGAATGACTAACCTGTTATTCGAATGGCGAATTATTAATTCATAAATAATCGATTAGTATTTTTGCTTATATTACAAAATTCCTCAGTAAATTATGAATTTTTCGATTATTGGTATACAATTTTGTATTATTCTTTCAGGACAATGTGATTATAGAATTATTTCGTCTTTCAAATTTATTTAAAGTTCCTAAAGTTTTACTTGCTGTTTCCAAGCATTTAGGAAGTAAAATTGATGAACAAAATGTGTTCACCATATTTGGTCTAGCCCGTCATTATCAACATAATGAACTTATAGCAGAATCACTTAACTTTATGGACAGCCACGCTTTACTTGTATTACAGTCCCAAGATTTTTTGTCTTTGCCACCCGTAAGGATATTTTAAAAATAAATCTTTATCATGAATTATGTTGTGACTAAAAAAAAATTCTAAATTCAGGAAGCAATACAAGAAATTCTCATTCGAGACACGTTTGTTGCTTATGAATTGGATGTATTCCGTGCGGTTTGTTTCTGGATCAAAACGCGTAAAGACAAAGGAGATCCTGAAGCTACAATCGAAGTATTATCAAACGTTAGAGATTCATTGATACGTGATGATAAACTGTCGTCAGTGATCAAGGAATCGCAGCTGGATAAAACGGAAATTGTAGAAGCCATACGATTGGGAAACTTGTTGTCACCAAGTAAACGTCAAACTCCAAGACACTCAAGTATGCACATTGTACATATAATTAGATAGTTATTCAACAGATTTTTGTTAATTTTAATTATTTCATTTTTTCAGACCCCAATATCAATATGGCTAGTTCGTCTCATGGCACTCAGGTTAAAAGAAGAACTGACGGCAATAATTTGGGACGCGAATTATGAAATTAATTATTATAAAAAATAATACTAATTTTTTATATTTTCTGTAATTTTTTTTATTATATATACAAAAAAAAAAACAGAAAGTCAGTTAATATTAATACAGTTTAATCCAATAATAATGTTTAAAAAGTTTTTAAAAAGTTACCTAATAAAAATTTTTTAAAGGTTTCAAGATGTTTTTCTCAATACTGTAATCCAAAATTCATTTTACGAACACAAAATATCTATTTTTATTAAATAAAAACCGATTTTTTAAAATATTTTATGCAATTTTTTTCATAATCTATAAGAAACATGCGTTGCGTCAGTATAAAAATATCAATGATTTAATTAGAAGTTTCGGGGAGGGGGGGGATAATTATTAATTAGTATATCAAATTACAGTAAACAATATGTTAAGGCTTATATTAAAAAAAAAATTAAACCATTAAGAGCCTCCTAGAAAAATGTCAACATCCATCAATCTTCAATAAAAGTAAATAAAGTAGAATTTCTAAAATTACATGATATAAAATATGCTTATTTTTTTTTTTTTAAATAAAATATAATGACAAATTAAAATTTTTACTCGGTATAGCAGCATGATGATCTATTTTTTGATAAAAAAAAGTATATATATATATTTGTATATACAGGGTGGCCCACAAAGATTTGACAAATTAAATAACTTTTGTTCTAGTGAATATTTTTGTGATTTTTTTTTTTTTAATAAGTTATGCTCATTTGCGCTATAAGCACCACAGTTTTTATTGCATTTGACTGTTTTACTTTTTTTAATTTTTTTAAAAATTGTTTTATTACATTTTTTCAAAATTTGTATTTTTATTCGTCCGTTCAAAAGTTATAGCGCAAATGAGTATAACTTATATAAAAAAAAAAAATTTCAAAAATATTCACTAGAACAAAAGTTATTTAATTTGTCAAATCTTTGTGGGCCACCCTGTATATACAAGTATATATTTATCGTTCAAATAGCTTAAATAACTTAGTGCTTAACGATTATGATATATTGGGATATATTAATCATCGTTAGATTGTAACAACAAATGATAATATGTTCAATCTGGGTATAAATTCCGAGGACAGTTAGGGGGGCTTAATTAACGTAGTACATTTTTTTTACAAGTATTATTAATTATAACGTAGGCAAGTTTGCAGACTGTTGGTAATTAGTCCGGGCGTAGACAGCTGAGCAGTGGTCGAAAGAAAATTAATTTTGATATTATTGATGTGTACAAAATAGGTATAATATACCGCATAAATACATTTTTGATTAAGTTTTAAATTTAAACAAATATTTTTTTATAGTTAATTTCATTTTTAACGAAAGGCGTTTTAAAATTAAAATTATATTTCAATTGAATACTATGTAATAGATACGACAAAATTATATGGGTCTTTTTGATTTTGAAACTAATTTATTACAAGTATAGGTTGTAGTTGTATACAAATTAATTCTTTCTGTTAATACAATAATGTTTACTATATAGCTGTTATAATTTTTTTATGATAAAATACAATTAGACAATATTGATTTCAACTAAATTTTAAATTTCACAATTATTCATTAATTGTATTATTTTGTCCATTTATAATAGAGACTTTGAAGCATATAAACTTTAAAATAGAGCTTTACCAAAATTCTAGAGAGAAAATATTTTTATAGCATCCTTATTTTTTGCATTTGAACAAATTTAAGATTTATGTTTAACAGTATGGATGATTAAGAGTAGTTTTCTCTTAACATTCGTATTTACATAATAAATAATAAATACAATTGTATGTAAAATCTTTTACATATACACCAAACAAATCATAATAATCTTTTAATGGATTGTAGCAGACTTTTTAATAACATATGCATACATATGCCTATCCATATTAGCGTTAATAATTAAGTGGACTAGGTATTTTTATTTTTTAACATAAATATATTTGGGGTTTTGAAAAGCAATTTTAAAATGTCTGTAAATCTTTGCTTTTAAGAAGCATAAAGTATCTAGAATTGTTTAATATTTTTAAAACGTGCGACTATTCAATTGGCGTACGATGTATGGGCAACATATGTTAGTTTGACGTCATTTTCAAAATTGTATGATATATTTAACAATATACAACAATAACATGTTTATGTTTCTATACGAAAACCCATATACACCTAACACCAATTGTATACATAATTATTCGTGAATAAACCCTATATAGAAAAATATGGTTCACAATTATAATAAAAATACATGTTTAAGTTCAGCACCTATTGAAAAGATTTTTTTATAAGTGTTTATGAAGTATTTAAGAATTTGATATCGGATTAACACGTAGAACACAATGGTGTTTATTTACTTTTTCGTCATTATCATTGTAACGTCAACTCCAGGTAATATATTTTTTATTAAACATAATTATATATTTTACACTATTATTTATACATATTGTTTGTCCTTGTTATTTGCAATTATCTCTAACAACAACTTCTCTACATATTTACAGAACTTATCTGCTATCTGTTGTAGTACATTTAAATATCGGTTTTTAAAAAGTAACCACAACTAATTTCCAAATAGTATATAATGTTTTAAAGCACACACCTTACCTACTTATTGATTTGTTGTATGCTGAATATGATAAATTCAATGCTAGTTGTCAACTACCTAGAGAGCTATGGATTTTTAACTATTTTAAATATTTAATATGATGTATTAAGTAGGTTACTATATTTGTCCTGAAAAGGACGGATTTTATGTGATCTATGAAGGATCCCTCGCCATGGTCGGGGTATACCGATACCGAATAACTATAGTCATTGTCTTCCAAGTTTCCTGACGTAGAAAAGTACACTTGGCAACTGTAAGAAAACTGTTAAAGATGTTTGTATCGATTAAGAAGGAGATCGCCAAGTCTGATTGGCTTTTATTTAGATGCTTTATGAATGGTTGCTGATGTTTAATAGCTAGCACAACCGCGTTATTTATTATTTTATATTTGTTTGTGGTGGCCATTAAAAGAACAAATGTATGTGTTCCTTGCAAAAATTCCCCCACTTTTTTCCCAGGAACAAGGGATTTTATCACCTCTTTAGCTAGTTTAGTGTTTTTTGTTTTTAGCATGTTTTGGTTCGACTAAGCGTAATTTGTCAGCCATAGCCAGTGACGAGCAAGCAGATCTCTCTCCATCCTATTTCAGCGAAATTAAGAGTCTATATCTACAAAAGAAGTATGATATTGTATATGTACCTATTTACTTTATTTTATTCATTATTGTTTTTTTTTGGTATGACTGACCGTTAACTTTAAAATTATACATTATCATTAAATAAAGGAAATAATACGCTTTTTCTTAAAACAGCCCTAAATTCTGAATATGTTACAAAATTAATTATTTTATATTTTGAAGTGGTATCAATATTTTTTACAAACATGTATAATAATTATGTTTCTATTAAAAAATAGGTATGTGAAAATAACAAAAATATAAAAATTAAGTGTTGCTGGATGGCTAATTACTTGTATTATTTTTTTCTATTTACTTCGAAAACGTATTAACTTTTAACGGAAAATTATAAGCTAAATATCAGAATTATCATGGTATTTTTACTAAGAAAAGGCGAAACTATTTAATAATTGCACCAATATATTTGAATTGCTTTGAATTACTTATAAATATGTTAAATTATACATAATGATTGTTTTGTATTAATATTTATAACAGCATTAATACCTTACTTTAATATTTATTTCAGGTTTTCAGACGTGGTTTTAATTGTAGATAATGATAGAATTCCCGCTCATAAACTTGTGTTAGCTTTAAACAGCGAATATTTTAGGTATTTGATTCTTATTTTTAAGTATACTCCTTATTGGTAATGTTAATTATTTATTATAATAATAATCAAAGATGTTCTTAATAATATATTACTTATCGATAATGTTATTTAGTAATTATGGTTTGGAAGAGTGAGGTGATAACCGCTAACCAATTTAGCCCAATGACAATTTTAGCTATACATTTATTTTATATGATCGTATAGAATATTATTACACTTTGAAGCTTTTAACATAATACAATTTTACATGGTAAAGGCCTATAACTGTAAAATTGAGTATTTAAAACAGTAAAGTAATAAGAACGAGCTCTTAGATTAAAATCAAGGGTTTTCAAAAAAAAAAAAATAAATTGGTTTCTATTATTGATTTGTTTTTGACAAAACATTTTTATATAATATTAAATGAATGTTTTTGTATCGTTTGTTTTTGTACAAATAATCTCTTTTTTGTAGACCATGAAATTAGACTATAATAGACTGTGCTTTACATATTGTAGCACACATAATTTATTGATTGTAATAATTGTTAATTTTACAGCGCTTTATTCTATAGAGGTCTTTTGGAAACCTTTCAGACGGATGTGACACTCGAGTTGGATGGAGCTTCTGTAAACTCATTTAAAATACTTCTTAAGTACGCATATTCGGGCCAATTGAATTTAGGAAACTTAGAGGTAACATAAAATTAACGTAGCTTACCGGTTTGAAAACAATAAACGTTAAAAGACTATTCGATTTTTTTTTTGAGGTTTTTTGTATTTAATTGAAAAATATGTACGTGAAAACAATATTCGAATGACTGAGTCGTTATTCGAAAGGCAAATGATTAATTTATTAAATAATCCATTAGTATTTTTGCTTATATTACAAAATTCTTCAGTTAATTATGAATTTTTCGATTATTGGTGTACAATTTTGTATTATTTTTTAGAGCAACGACATTATAGAATTATTTGGTCTTTTGAATTTATTTAATTTTCCTAAAGCATTAATTGGACTGTCCAAGTATTTGGGTGGTAAAATTGATGTCCATAATATGTTCCCGATGTTTGGTCTGGCACATCATTATCAACAGAAAGAACTTACAGCAGAATCACTTAACTTTATGGACAGCCACGCTTTGCGTATATTACAGTCCCAAGATTTTTTGTCTTTGCCACCCGTAAGGATATTTTAAAAATACAAAAAAAAAAATCTTTATCGTGATTTATGTTGCGTCTAAAAAAAAATTCTATTTTCAGGAAGCCATACAAAAAATTCTCATTCGGGACACGTTTTATACTCCTGAATTGGATATATTCCGCGCGGTTTGTCGCTGGATCAAAGAGCATAAAGACAACATAGACCTTGAAGATAGAACCAAAGTATTATCAAACGTGAGAATTACTTTAATAAATATTGAAGAACTGTTGACTGTTATCGAGGAAACGCAGCTGGATAATTTGGACATTTTAGAAGCCGTAGAATTGAGAAAATTATTGTCATCACGTAAACGTGAAACTCCAAGACATCCAAGTATGCGCAATTGTACATATAATTAGTTACTCAACCAATTTTGTTAATTTGAATTATTAAATTTTTTCAGACCCCAATTCCATAGCTAGTTCGTCTCAAGCTACTCGTAAAATTATACATAAATATGGAGGCACAAATTATTATGATAATTGATAAAATATTATAACCAATTTTTTTTTCTTAAAATGTATTATTATCTATAAAAAAAACTTTTATCTGGTCAAAAATATAGAATATATACAAAAAAAACCTCAAAAGCCAGTTAACTTTAGTCCAATAATAATGTTAAAAAGTTTTTAAAAATTTTAAAAAGTTACCTAATAAATATTTTAAAATGTTTCAAAATGTTTTTTCAAGTATGATAATTCAAAATTAATTTTACGAACACAAAATCTCTATTTTTTCAAATAAACCCGGATTTTTAACATTATCAGATTTTTTTATCTGTAAGAAACATGCGTTGCGTCAGCATAAAAATATCAATAACTCAATTAGAAGATCAGTTCATTTGGCATTAAACTCTCACTCTTTTTAATATGGCTAGTTCGTCACATGGCACTCAGGTTAATAGAGGAACTGACGGCAATAATTTGGGACGCGAATTATGAAATTAATTATTATGAAAAATAATATCAATTTTTCATATTTTCTGCAATTTTATTATTATATATACAAAAAAAAAAACAGAAAGTCAGTTAGACAAATGCTTTTTTCACATGATTCAGTTTTTTCGTCTGGTATACCTAATTTGTACTTAATTATTTATTATATTTGCGCACGAACAAAAGCAATATCTATGTAAAATTTCAAATTTCGGTATATTTTACAATTTCTTATACTAACTTTATACAAGAAAATGAGATACGGCGTTATGTGTTTGTAGGTGTTGTAATTATATTTTAATATTTTATTGCCATATAGATTGTAATATACACTATATTATAATATACATAATAGGTATATGCCATGTTTTAATGGTGTGTTGAAACTTGAAACTGCACACACTTCTGCGCCTTATACTATACAGGTGGTATAGATCATAGAATATAATATGGTGTTACATAATTGTCGAGAGTGTGGAGTTATTTTGTTATTACCATTGATTATAAATACCAATTCCCGTGACAATATAATCTTGCGGGCCCTTAGCTTTACAAATTTGGGGGAAGGGGGCATTAGAGACGTACACCCGCCCAAAAAAATTATCTCTATATTATCCCTGTTAATAAAGCTTCTAAATAATTAAAATCATGTTTAGTATACAATTATTATGTGTATGGTCAATTTTTTTTTAACATTGTTTTTGGTTTAAATAACATAAACAAAACCACAATAATAATAAAATCAAATTATTAAATAAAGTTATGTCCGGTCTGTTTTATCAAAATTTCTTCTTTTTTGCTTTTGCTTCAGCAAACTTATAGATTAAATCCTCGAAGTTAACCTCTCGAGGAGTTTCTTGTTCGATTTAAAAGTTTTCTTGTTACATTTTTAAGCGTTGAAATTACAGCTAAAATTTCACTTGTAAATGTTTTTAGTATGACTTCATTGTATTTGTTTACCAACTTCGTAGCTTCGCTTAAAAGTTCTAAATATGTTAATAAGGCAAGACAAGATGGTTGTAAACATGTAAAATTTAGCATTAATTCGAGAAAACTTGAAAACCGTTTATTAACTTGATTTTTTAATCAAGAACCAACGTTCGATAAAAAATAGTTGCACGAAATAAACTTTTTCGCATCTTTACTCAGTAAATCAAGCAGTTTGCTATTGAGAACAAAATAGTAAATTGTCAATAATTATAATAAATTGTCGAAACAAATTTGTAAAGAATTTTCCCAGCTTTTTCCTACTTCAAATAATAAATCGTATGCATCACTATTGAGGTAGTAAATAAAATACACGGCCGAAGACAAAAATATTTGCCATAACATTAATTCAATTCCACTTGACAACATATACGTTTATATAGTGAAAATGTTTGAACAACCATTTATAATGATTTTGTTTTACACTAAACATTGGATAAAACATAATATCACCTAATAATGATGTATTACAATTGAGTGTGTAAGTTCAAGAGACTTTTGATTAGGAAGCAGATGGTGTTTTTCACTGGCCATTCCGTTGGATGCAATGGTCTAGCAGAAATATATCGCTATAAACAAACGACTTGTTATTATCATGTGTAGTGTAGCATTATATTGGTATTAATATCAATATGCGTTTGCAAGTGTCATCGTGGTTATGTCGAAACCTTTGGTGTCGGGTGTCCTGGACCCGTCGGTTGACACGAGCAAATCGCCTAGTTAGTCAGTCGGAATTCAGTAGTAGATGATAGCAGAACCTCATATAGTAACAGAAACTCTTTAAAGTTAAGTTTTTATTTTAAAAGTGTAATCCGTAGTTAATAGTATAAGTTTAATAATAAAAATCAACAGTTTATTTTAGTTCAATAAACATATTGGTCATTCTTTCTTTTGCAAAACACCTTCTTTTTGCCCGGCCTATCCATTTACATCACATGCTTGTATAATATTGTTTATTATCAACAGTATGAACCAGCATATTTTGTATGATTTGTTTTTTTTAAATATAACATATGTGTGTACGAATAAAAAATCCATTTACAATAGCTTGTGTCGTGTAGATTATGTAAGTTTCTCAACAAAATCTCTATTTTTTCAAATAAACCCGGATTTTTAACATTATTAGATTTTTTTATCTATGAGAAACATGCGTTGCGTCAGCATAAAAATATCAATGACTCAATTAGAAGATCAGTTCATTTGATATTAAACTCTCACTCGTTTGACATGGAAGTTACAAATGGGCCAGCAGGAATTGTGTGCACGTTATAGATCATTAAATTTATCGTTGTGGATTAATTCAACATATTTTGTTGGTTGTCCGATCGTTGCCTATTTGACAATAAATTATTGAACATTGGACAGAAGACGATATAATATTAACGTTATTGTGTGTACCGCACACCGTCTCACTTAGACGGAGAACGTGTGTCCATAAACATTCCACTGGTCGGTCACAATGGAGTGTTTAGTTATGATAGACACACTTTATAAATTATATTAGTTAATAATAAAAATACTTTAGATATGCGCATATTTGCGACCGGTTTCACCCACTCCGTATAACCTACTAACCCGTTTGACGGGAAGGGAAAAACGGCGCTGTACATTATATTATATAATAAAATAACAAAATAATAATAATAATAATACCAACAACACAACAACGGTAGTCTCGCGTCGGTACATCGATGCTGCACACAATAATAATAATATGTTGACGGATTAAGGTCGTTTATCACTAACATTATTTTTATTGAAACAGTTTCTACCGCGAGACACCACGACGGCGTTTGTCCCGGTTCGAGAAGATAGGTAGGTATGTAGAATGTAATTATTTCATATATTTCCTTGTGTCATTATTATTTGTATTAAATGTAAAATTTCGCCGCAGCCGCTGTTGTCGCCGTCGTCGTTATCACGGATTGTCGGACGATGCTTATCTCTAATCACGTTGATAACGTTGTTGTGTTTGCGTTCAAAGTGGTATTGACAAAAAAAAAAAATAATAAGTTCTAAGACGTATATTATTAGTACTCGTACTATACCATCAATTTTTAATTGCTCGTACAAATGAGTAATAATAATATTACTTAATGTGTATTTTTACCGATATTTTGTCCTTTGGTTCGGGTTTGGCCACATTGTTGACACTGTTCGTTTTCCGTTAACAATAATAATAATAACAGTGTATCGTTGTAAAATCGTCTGGTTATTGTTTGCGGTGGCGCGATTAATTATTGGAAAGTCGGATTAGCACACAGATATCGGGTTCGGCGGCACATATTACCTTATCTTCGAACCGACCGTTGTCGTCGACGTTCACTGGAATCCGTAGGTAATGGCCGTATATTATTTAATATTACTATTACTATTATTGTTAATATGTATTTAATAATGATGTTTACGGGCCTCTATGTGGGATCCGCGCACTCGTTGATCGCACTTCGCCTGGGCAACAACTGGCGCAGGCTTTGTGTGTTTTTCACAAAAATTATATTTTCCATGGTATAAGCGATGTGTATGTGTTTTTTCCTGCTCAATTGTGTCTGTCCACAGTGTCCATAGTTTTGTTGTAAAATCGTTTTCCCACAATGAGTGTGTTTGGCTCGGGTTGAGTATGACTGCCTCGTTAATACTTAATGCATGTTCTTGATTTTTTTGACCAGCTTACGGACCCGTGTTCTACACCCATCGCAGTAACTCAACGATGAGTGGCCAGCAAGTGGCCGATGGTGACGGCGCTCCTGGCGGTAGCAGCGGCAGCAGTAGCGGGACCAGCGGTGATCACAGTCCTATCGAATGTAAAACACCACCATCCATAGCCAAACAGCACAGTTACGAGCAAATTGATCACGCCCACTTCTTGGCCAGCGACATTGGCACTCTGTATCTAAATGACAGGTATAGTACTGTATTTGTACATGTTTACTTTATAATATTCATTATTGTTTTTTTAGTTATGACTGACCGTTAACGCTAACATTATATTTGAACAATCGTATACAAGATAATAATTGCTTGTTCTTTAAGCAAAATATGAACAACTAACATTATTTGTTTTTTCATATTTCAATTTGTGAACACAGTGTTGACAATTATGTAATACCTAGTTATGACAAAATATCATTAGTCGTTTTGATTTTGACAATAATATAACACAAGTATGTTTACCTTGTATACAATTTTTAATACCATAGTCCACAATTTAAACAAATATATTCTCTATATTCGTATAGTAGTATGTTAAATAATATTGTTAACTTAGTTTTTAATGATAAAATAGAATTAGACAATTGATGATAAACTCTTAAATTAGTCATTAATTATATTTTTTATTTTATTTTATACTAGTGACATACAAAATTCATTGCCTAACTATTAAAGAAAAGTTATTGGTGTCTGTATTAATACTTAATTTTATAATTTCAGGTTTTCTGATGTTGTTCTAGTTGTGAATGGCGAACGATTCCACGCCCATCGAGTTGTATTAGCCTCACGAAGTGATTATTTTAGGTATTTTATTTTATCATTAAGCATATTACCTTAGATAGCTTAATGCTTAATAGTTTCATAGCCCTAATAAATGTAGTTAGTAATAATAAATTACTTATCGATAATGCTAATTTTTTTTGTGACTGTGCTGTCTCAACCCACAACATTTAATTTCATCCATGAAAATGAGCTTTAACACGTTTAATAATTAATTTATAATTTGGTAGCTGAACTGAGATCTTAAAAATCTTTTACAGAGATGTGGTTTTTATAAATTAAATTTTTTCTTTTTGTATCTGGACCTATAAATTAGAAATTGTACCTAAATACTTAACACTAGGTAGTACTTTATACCAATGTGTACAAATACCTAATTACTATTACTTAATTGGACCAACAATTAAACATTTTCCCCCTTTCTTTTAAAATCTTATTTTTATATGATTTGGTTCCTGTAGTAATTGGACTTTGATTCAGAAACCAGACTAGTACATAAAATAACCTATGATACTATTGCACAAACAGCTAGAATGGTTTCTTCATGTACCATAAATAAAAAATTGTTGAACGATATTTTATAAAGCCTAATGAAAAAATATTACCCCTTTATCTTTCAAAATCAAGAGGAAAACCCTTAAAATGCTACCATTTTTATAAACAAAATTCTAAAATCTGTAGTTGCACTTTTTTAAGGTAATTAAAAAAATCAAATCACAATTATATAGTTTTTAATGTCTATAAAAATATTTATTATTTAATAAATTATTTATGTATTATTTTATCATAGAGTTATGAAGTACCATATTTTATTTTTTTCATTACTCCTTATGATAACTATCAATATCATAGTAAAAATATAAAATATTTGTAGTAATTGTGTATTATTTTTAGGGCATTATTATATGGAGGTCTTAAAGAATCCCATCAGTCAGAAGTGAAAATTAGTGAAGCATCAGTAAACTCATTTAAAAAACTGCTCGAATATATTTATTCCGGTCGAATGAATTTAAGTATTCTAAAGGTAACTTAATCGACATAGTTTACTGGTTTTCAAGTGGCCTAATCAGTAGATTCATTTGTTTGAGTTTCAGTTATTAAAAAAATCCCTACCCTAACTAATTATTGTAACATACTACAATTTTGTTTTATTTTTAAGGACGAAGTGATTTTGGAAATATTTAGTCTTTCAAATTTATTTGGATTTTCAAACTTAGAACTTTCACTGTCCAAGTATTTACGAAGTAACATTAATGTACATAATGTATGCTCGATGTTTGCTGCAGCACGTCTTTATCAACACAAAGAACTCGTAGTCGAATCACTCAACTTTATCGACAACCACGCTTTGGACGTATTACAATCTGAGGCTTTTCTGTCTTTGTCGCCCGTAAGGACGTTTTGCTCAATAAATTTTGCTCATGTTGTGAAAAAAAATTGTAATTTATAGGAAGCACTACAAGAAATTCTCAATCGTGATTCGTTATATGCTTATGAATTGGATATATTTCGCGCGGTTTGTCGCTGGATCAAAGCGAATCAAGACGACGAAGATCCTGAAGCTAAAATTAAAGTTCTATCTGCTGTGAGGTATCCGTTAATGAGTCTTGATGAGCTTTTGTCTGTGGTCAGAGAATCACAGCTGGTTAGTTCAGATAATATTTTGGATGCTATACAATTAAGGAACACGTTGCCATCACATAAACTTAAATTTCGAGGACAATTAAGTATGCATATTGTATGTATTATTTTGTATTTAGCAAATTATGTTAATTTCAATTATTTCATGTTTTAGAACCCAATTTGAATATTGCTCATCCTTCTCAAGGCACTCAGGTTATGCAGGGAGAAATGCGATCGGCATTATTGGAATCGGATTCCAGTGTTCATGATCATGAACGAGGTTGTACAAGACATCTGATTAATGAAACTGACGGCGGCATTATGATCAAATTGGGTCACCCATCAATTATAAACTATATTAAAATGCAGTTATGGGATAAAGATTTAAGGTGTTTTTAATATTTCAATTTTTCTTATCAGAGATGGGCATTATTCAATAATAAAAACAGATTCAAATAATTATTAAAAATAAAAAATTATTTATGCATATTATTTATAAATAATTGATTTATTTGTCAATAATTTAATTTATTCATACAAATTTTTATTCATTATTTGAATCATTTTTGCACAGATCTGTTTTTAATATTTATTCGTGTCAATGCTTTAATGAATTCAATTTAATGAAACAATTTGTTCAATTTATATTAGGTCTTACTCTTATTACATTGAAGTTTCAATGGATCAGCACGATTGGGTGCGTGTCATAGATCACTCAAATTATTATTGTCGATCAACTCAACGTTTGTGGATTGATCCTCGCGTAGTTCGGTATATACGTATTGTCGGCACTAACAATACTGTTAATAAAACTTTCCACGCTGTGTCGATGGAAGTCATGTACAATACAGAAGAAATGCACTTGGTGGAAATCGAAAAAGGATTAGTGGGTAAAAAAACCTGTTCTTATTATAAACAATTTTTTTTTTTTATCTAATTGACTGATTTTAATCATTTAGCTCCAAAGTATAATGTTGCTACAATGTCTATGAATGCAATTGTAATAGATGGTGTAAGTCGTTGTCGCAATTCACTGTTGGATGGAAACTATAAGGACTACGATTGGGACTGCGGTTATACATGTCATCAGCTAGGGTCGGGTTGTATACTTGTTCAACTCGCACAACCATATATGCTTAGTTCAATGAGGTAATAGTTAAAATAACTTGCATTTTTGGTAGGACTATTTTGTTTAATATGATCATAGTATTTGTTAAACGTTATAGTGTCTTGTTAAATTACCAAAGAGACCACTATGTCTGCCTAATATTGTATGAGTTTAGCTCAGAGTATTCACTAACTCATTAATTTTTGGCTAAATCAAAGTTATTCATTATTGAATCGGCAACATTTGTTTAAAAGTTCTTGATTGTTGATGTTTTTAATGAAACATTTTCCTATAAAATGTGAACTATTAAGTATTTATCGTAGAGTCGATAAATTAATACATATTTTGTAGTAATGATTTATAAGATTGATAATATTATATTAAATTTTTAATGATGATTTATATTTTCTGTAAATTTGTTGTATCTGTTTGATAGTTAAAAGAAACTTCTTCCATTCAAAGTATCACCCAATAATGAAAAATGAATTTTAATTATGCAAAAAGTTATATTAGTAAATATTAATCATGTTATAAATAATAAATGAATGTTTTAACATTAATATATAATTCATTTATGATTTTTATTTAATAGATAATAATTATTCAGTCTTAATAACTTTTATTTATTAATAATTAAAATTATTTATGAATACAACACAAAATTATTGTATTTACCGAATTATCAGTTTATAACTTCTATTCATTATTCAAATATAAGTTTTGCATAAGTCTGGCAATAAAAGACTAAGACTATATTATTGTCATCATTCACAGGATGCTGCTCTGGGATTGCGATGACCGATACTATAGTTACTATATTGAAGTTTCTGTCAACACTTGGGATTGGGAATTGATCGTAGATAAATCCAAGGAGTTGACACGATCATGGCAGGTGCTGCAATTTAAACCAAGGCCCATAGTGTACATTCGTATTACTGGCGTTTATAATTCAGCAAATGAAGTGAGTAAAATTATTCTACGAGTAGTATTTTTAATTGTTAATCACTCTTTCACATTGTAGGTTTTTCATTGTGTACATTTGGAGGCTCCTGCTCAAGTAGCGTTAGATTCCAACGTCGTTGAAGTAGATCGAGCCGTAGCAAATTTACAGGTTACACCAAAATTGGTACGTACTTACATATTTTTATCTTAAAATAATTTTGTTTGTAACATCGTATTGTAAGAAATGTAACGAGAATTTATATTTTAGGAGGACAACGAAACAGATGATCCGATATTAGAAACATCGACACAAGCTCCAGTCGTTTAAGCTAAATTCAAAGTATAAGCTTATTTGTTCCTTACGCACTTAACAAGATAGACTGATATTAATATCAAATTATATTTTACTGTTATATTATTTTTTCACTTACAATATTTATATATATTTTTGTTTTTTTGTTTGTTTTATAAATGTATGAAGTATAATATTTTAGAATTCTCAAATTTTGTAATTATACCATAAACGAAACTGTCGAGACCTTTTATTTTGCCAATCGTATTTTATCTTGTTTTGTCTTTGCACTATACTTTTATTTTATAAAAAAAAGACCTGTATATTTTATTAAATTATTATTAATTATTAAAATGTATAGGGACTTTATTATTATTAAAATGTTTGGTTCTTTTACTTAAATAAAATAAAACTTTGTATGTATGTAAAAATTAATAAAAGTTTGTGTGGGAGATTGTTATTAACATTGGTGTTATTTACAATATTGAACGATAAAATGTTGACTTTTTTGTCAATGTTTCCATCTACAGCTACAACTCCAAGACAAGAAACATCAAACCGAGAACGCAGTAATTCAGGACTTTTGGGGTGAGGGGTTTTCAATATAATTGGGAGTTAGGTGCGATGATAAGTATAAAGGACGTGATGGTTTGTTTTTATTAATTGGTAATATCATCGTAAAATATTAGTAATTAATTAATATTAATAAGTGTTGTGATATTTAGCCCAGATGATCAAAGTAATGACTTGTTGACATGAGTGTAACCTGTTGTAGCTGTAAGAGCTGTAACCTTCCCACTAAATATATTCAAAATCATATTAAAATACACTATACTTCAAATTTAATTTACAATTTGTATTTTAGAATTTGTAAGTCTACAAAATGTGTTTGCAAATTAAATAGTAATTTAATAATTAAAAAAATAATAATAACCAATGTTTTACAACTTGCAAATTGTTTTTTGTTGAGATTAGGTACCTAAAACTTCATAGTAACTATTTTATATTTTAAGCCGTTTTAATATTGTCTATGATATATAATACAAGACCTTAACGACCTATCGCTAATATTATAAATAAATAATTCTATTTGTTGAAAAAAATTTGTTGACGGTTGAAAAATCAACGTTTTGTTTTAGTTTTAAAAAGTTGTTAATTTTTAACATGAAAAGACACGATTGGAAGTTTATCAAACATTTTTTTAATTACCTACTAACTACTTAATTGAAACCAGAAACTAGACGATGAATAAAGGATGTTGGATGAATAGAAGAGACATATAAGGTATTAGCGCTGATCATCTGAACTGGGTATGTAGCGTAGGTACATTAAAATTATTATTGTTATTACTTTGTTATACAATTATTATTAACATCTAATATTATTATTAATGATATTTATTATGATAATCTCTACTATCAGTGGCGAAACGTCATAGAAGACTATGTTCACTTTTATTGAATTTAAATATCAAATACTTGTTTACACATTTTCAACAACATATTTGTCTTGAAGACATACACTCTTGTTTATTAAGGGGTTAGGTATAATCAAAAAATACTAAACACAACGCAGATATAGCTATGGCAAGAATAGCGAAGACGTCTATGACATTAACGTACAAGAGATTCAGTTAGAGGAAGTTTGGACATGGAAATTGCAATACCAAGCTGGACTAAAATAAAAACGTAGCGCAATAGCACTACGACAAATAGGTAATAATCGTTTTTTTGATAAACATAATTTTAGTTGAGGCCTGAGAGTACTTTAACGGATCCGGCGGACGATGAAGAATGATAAATACAATAATAAGAGCAATGATCAATCTCAGTGGTTGTAACAATAATTACTATAATAACCAGAAGGTTGGAAAGGAAGCAACGGAGGTATGGAATCATCAAATGACAAATTGACAAACCATCATCAGGTCTTCAGTAGAAACAAGATGTAAAGGTAGCTTAGAAATATTATTATAATTTAGTAACATTTAGTAAAGACACTCGAATTACACCAGTCCAAATTTTAATTTTACTACATATTTATAGGTCAAGTACTCGTGGATTAGGTCTGTGCATGATGATTTAGGTAGGTCCTGCAATTTGAAATTGAATTTCCTTATTATATTTGTTATGGGTAGTAGTGGACTTAGGTACATATATGTCTCGACTGCTCATAGAAGCGCCGTATGATGGATGTGCCAGATGTGCTATATAAGACCAGCGAGTACATCTGGTACATATTATATGCGGTCCGAAAAGCTTACCCCACAGACAAGTCGCATGCCCGTTGTATGAACGTCTGATGATATTATACCTAAGTTAATTTATCTACTAAAGTAAAGACACCTCCACTGTGATTAAAAACGTCATCATGCATGGAGATACCACGTTAAAAAAAAACGAGCCAAATACTCTACCTCATGGGTGGTTTGGAAATGAGTATAAATAAAAAATTATGTTATTCTAACGTCAAAAAATAGATATCATTTATTTCAGGACCAACAGCTGACGTAACAATAAGGTACTCGAGGAAAAGCATAATATGCAATTGTGTGCACATCTAAAAATAAATATTTCAGTAAACGAAAATTTAAATTTTATTATAATTAAGTGCGTACCAGATTAACGACACTAGTACAATATAATCTCATGGTCATGGTCTAAAAGTACTCTAATAGCCATCATTGCAGCTTCACCAGTAGCTACTGTAGTATCCGTCAATATCGCCGTGTAGTCTTAAATGTCTTTAGGCAAACGCAAATGGTAAAGCTAAACAGATTAATAATAAAACAAAAAAAAATTAAATATCCAGAAATGATAAAAAAAAAAGTTACTAATAAAATTGTATACCTCTGGTTCACCAGTTAGGTACATCTGTTTGTTTGAATTACATTTTTTCCAATTTGAATATCTTTGCAAACATCACAAACTGCTTGTGTTTCATTGTTTCACTGGCTCGTAAAATTGACACACCACAAATCTTATCGCTGGCACATATTTTCTTAGAAGTTGGCAAATCGCCCGAGATATTTTGTTCATAATTAGTCATCTTAGTTTTGTAATTATTATTTTTTATACTTTATTGTAATGTAAGTGTACCTACGGGCTATGCGCCACAATTGACCATAAGACATAATATCTTAGGGGTGGCTCTTTCATAAATTAAATAAATCTCCCCAAACATGTTTTTCACTATTTAATATTTTATTACTACATACCACTTATAGGAACCACTTGCATGAGTAATAATATCGAATTTTTTCCGAAAAGGCAGTTGCTATAGAAAATTTGGTAAATAACGTTAAATTTTTACTTACACAGCTGACCCGTTCCGGAGCAGTTCATTAAAAAATCAAATGTTTTGTTCGTAACTGTGCGAAAATTGCTCTCTGAAGGGTTTCTTTATTGCCGACATAAGCGACTTCATAATGATAAAATGAATAATACAAATGTCGTGTAAAGCGTTGGGTATGTTCTAATTGCGTATGTATGCTCTTACCGTTAAATTGACTCGAGTCAAATTGGGGAAAACGCCCGCAATGAATAACAACGTTTTGTTTATTAAAAAGGCAATTAATTTAAACCAACGACTCGTCGGGGGGCGCAAAGGGCCGATCCCCAAAAGAGTATATCCAAGTATAATACATGTAAGATATTGTGGCGTTAAATCGAGTCCATTGTCTTTTAACCTAATAAACTCGTGTCGTACGACGTCGTAATCGTAAAACCAACGAGTAATGGGCAATGATATAGGTATGTATATTGTTTATATGTATAATATAATAATGTAGTGACCATATTACTCGGTATAGCGTCTAATTATTATTTTATGGTTTCCACACTTTGAACTGCCAACTCCTCTATATAGAGCTATTATTAAATCACCACTTAAACATTATTATGTAAATATATTTACTATTTAGTTACAGCCTGTGCACACATTTTCACTTGTTCCGGAGTTTGTTCAAAGAGAAATTGTAATTTTATTTTTAAAGAAAGATATTAGGTATTTCTTTCTATATATTTATAGCTATTTTTTTTTTTTTAAATGCCATTTCCGTATATTTACATTGTTTGTACAGTATTTTAAAATTAGTTTTTATTTTTTAAATATTTTTTTTTGAAAATCGTATTTATTAAAAAAACATTTTTCTATAACCGTTATCGTTTTACAAAATCTAAAAGTGTAGATAATTTGAACAGCGTTAAATTCGAGTTTCGAGGGTTTTAGAATAACAAGCCCTCTCTAAAGGCCTACCAATAAGACATAATAACCACCCGAGTAGGTATTGTTCAACTGGTTCGACAGCTCTTTTATCATCATCGTGATATTAGTTTGACCTGACTTTTTGTATAACATCTTGGCAGTTACTCTATATTATTATTATTATACTCTTTGAGACGGGGTGAACAATATCATAATGGCCGCACGAGTATAATGTAGAAAAGCAGAAGCGCGTATTACCTAACCTGTATGTAGGAGGCGGTGGCCGTACGGATGGCGTTACATTAGCATCGTATTGTGTGCCAGTACACACATACATCTAAGTATAATAATAATAATAATAATGTGCGTGAGTGCGGGCATAGTCGGCATGTGCGAGGAAAGTGCGAGAAGAGATAAAGTTTTGCCTCGGCCGTCCTGCGGGATTACCGCAAAGACCTCATATGCGAAAACCACCACCGGCGGGTGGCGGGCGGCGGGGGGGGGGGTACTAAAGTCTCTTATCTAAGCCCTCCCTCAGTCGTCCCTTTGCGCTGCTCATCCCCCTGGGTGTAGCCACCGCACCGCGCGCCGTCGGTCGACGTTGAATGATGATTTTAACCCTCTTATCAGCTACGCATCCATTTTCCTTTACACAGCCTCCCGCGCCGCCGTCCTCTCTTTTGCTTTTAGATTTAATGTATCCATAATGCGCCCCCCCCGCCCCTCTGCCCCTGTGCCCCTCCCCTCATAGCGTCCCCTATCGCCCATCGGTCTTTTGGCGTGCCACCCGCGACTTCCTTCGCCTTCCCCGGAGCGCGGGCTGTGTATGTATATGGAAATTTCTAATCTATCTTTTCATTAGCCGTTCGCCTACACGTATAGGTTTTCCTCCCCAGCTCCGCTCGCGCCCCCTCCTGTCGAAAACCACAACCACTGGCTTTTCTTCTTCGCCGCATACAGGTCCGCGTCCCGTCGCCACTCGCAGCCACCGGTTAATTAATATTAATTTCCTGTTGCACACGTTTACCGTACAGCACCATATACATAATATATGTACATCCAGTTAAGTGTTACGGCCCGTCGTACTTAAGCTTCGGGGCGATAAGCCATATTATTTTTGGCGTT